AGATTATAATGGTATAACTACTTTTACAGAATTAACTTAATTACCAAATTTCACAGAAAATATGTTTACCGGCTGCGTGAGTGCGGCAAGCATGAACGGCTCATCCGTGACGCGGGATTCGCGCCGCGTGGGGCAGAGAGGAGCGAGTATGAGAAGCATTCACAGACACAGGCTGTGTGTGCGCTCTTCTGAAGAGGGAATAGCCAACATGCATCATAAACTTATTTCAAATTAATCTGTTGGGGAGATAAAATGTGTAAGATAACGTTCACGTACTAACAAAAACATCTAAGAATGTGTCTTTTATTCTCCAGTACTGAAAACAGAACCGGTGCGCTCACTCTATTGGTTAGTAAGACTGCAACTCAAGGCTGGCAGTCATGCATATGCTCTGGAACGGAGTAATATCGCGTCCATATCGCAGGCTTTGTGATTAGGACATCGCAACGTCTCAAATCGTGATTTCGATTCGATTTCGATTAATCGCACAGCCCTACCCATAAACCCTAAAAATTTTTTACAAAATCTCACAACTATTTAACAACGTCATAAATCATCAATAGTTGATCATAAGCAACCTATTGGCATGAATGCACAGTATTCATCAATTGTAAACTGAATCCTGCAGAACGTGCCACAGCGCAGTGTTTTGACTGAACTTGCGGCACTCGTAATTAATTTAATCATGGTATTTTTTGAGGTTACTGAAAGCCCCACTCACGCTCTGATGCGGTTTTCAGCCTCTCCGTCACTAGTGTCTTGGTTCTCTCGCAGGAAAGTGATATAATGCAGCCACAGGTCGACGCTGAGCGGAATCGCCTGCAGACCTCGACGGTAAACCTGTGCGAGGGAAAACAGATTCAGATCGATTCATTTGTGTGATGCTTTTTAACAAGAATAAATGGCGAGTAGAAAACTTTAAAGTGTGAATCTCATGAAAACATGTCAGATGTCACTCCAAAAACACTACCAAATTTTACTATAAGTTTGATCACAATTAGGGATGCACCGAAATGAAAATTCTCAGCCGAAGCCGAACAAAATTAAACACTGGGCCAAATACGGTCCAAATCCCCCCCCATGTATTTTGCCAATTTTGTTTTCACCATTGCATAAATTAAAAAGCCAAAATGTGCTTTTTACGGTTTTGTCTTGCTTTTCCAAGAAAAAAAAAAGAATTACAAAACAACAATTTAAAAACATTTAACACTGAACATTTTTAACATTCTAGCAGACACTATACCAACAAAGCACAATTTAACTTAAAATTAATAAGTCAGTAAAATAATGTTTGGCCATCAGACCCCCTGCTTGAATCAGGCGTGTATTTTTACTGTACAATTAAAAGCAGCCTTGCTGAGAAGAGACTTCTTTTAAAACATTAGAAAATATTACAGATCCTAATTTGAACAGTGTGTGAATGTTATAAGAAATGGATTAAAACAGAGCTGTTGTAATGATTATCATCATTATTATTGTCTTACTTTTTATTTTATTTTACAGAACAGTAAAATTACAATACTAACATTTATGAATGTTGATAAGAGTTCTTGCTTTTTCTTTTATTTTGGCAGAAGCGCGCAGGAAGATCTCAGCGCTTCTTTTTGCTGATGACAGCAGATTTATGAACGAGTCTCATTACGAATACGTTGTACGTATTGCGTTGTAACATGCCTTGTAAAAATTCATAAAAATGTGACTGAGCAACTGAAGAACGCAGATTTCCCTCGCGCTTTGATCCCTGGTTAAGCAGATCTGCTGCGAGCTCGTGCAGCGCTGTCAGAATACATGCAATGCGTGCGTGTATTAGAAAACATGACGTTCTGTAGTTTATTTACTAATTGTTTAAGGCCATTTCGTGATTTCAATCATCATACAGTAACCAGCAACAATCCCCCCGTCCTCTTCTCATCGAAGACATGTGCTGCAGCACTAAACAGTCTCTCGCTGTCGGTTCTTGTAATGATTTTTGCATCTTTCTCCGACAGTTTAAATGCTTCCACACTGCTGACGTGTGTGCTGCATTATACAGAGTGCGCGCCTCTCACTCTGCGCTGGTTGCTATTTGATCGCGTCATATCATTATCGCTTATTCGGCCGATAATATATATAATAAATATTATTTCGGTTGCCGAACATTCGGTGCATCCCTAATCACAACATATAATCATTGCTGTTAATAGTGTTCACCGTCTGTCTGATTACATGACATTAACTAACTGCATGATTTTTACTGTACATTTCTGCCATATGGACAACAACTTGAGATGGTCACCACTGATAAGCTATTACTAAATATAATGTAGAAACTTTAATTTTCTGTTAAGCTGCTTTACAACGATTTGCATCGTGAAAAGCGCTATACAAATAAACTTGAATTGAAAAAAACTGTATTAAAGGACATTTTTTGAGACTTCATGACAACAAAAATCTATGATTCTCATGAGTTTAGCTTATTTTAATGTGTTTCAGTAACTTAACTCGTGAGATTCATCCTCTTTGTTTTGCCCGTTTCAATCATTTTTGTTAGCTTTAAAAACAAAGTTTGTGCTTATTTGAATGTTTTTGTGACTTTTAACAACAAAAATAAACAGCTCTCGTGAGTTTTGCCTGATTACGACAACAAAATCGATCATTTGCATGAGTTTTGCCTATTTTAAATTGTTTTGTTGATTTAACAGAAACTGATTATCATTGGTTTTGCCCATTCTAAAAATTGTTGGCACCTTTAACCAGCACATTTTCATGACTTCATGATAACAAAAATGGATTATTCTCATGACTTTCATCCGGAAGTCATTCAGACTCACCTCATCGGCCAAGTGTACGTAGCCGTGTTTCTTCTCAATATCTGCGTACTTCTTCCAGTAGCCGTAACAGTAGGGGTAGTGTAGGAAAAAGTCATCAAACGCCTTCCTTGAAGCCACCAGGTGGTTCTGAAACAAAAGAAAAGCTCATAAGCAAATAGCTTTGTTTCCATCCACCTATTTTTATGTGCATTTTGGGATATCGCATTAAAAAAAAAATCACTGGATGGAAATGCCAAGATGTGCATAAATTCTAAAAACGTGCATAAAAAACGTATGCGTTTTTATCTAAGTAGGATAAATGTCTTATCCGGTAAGAAAACATGTGCATAAACTACGATGGAAACACTTTCACCGAATAAACTTCTTAATGCGCATCAAAAAAGTCATGCGACTTTGCGATGGGACAGCATAAAACTGGACCAACCACTGGAGCGATCTCTTCACACAGCATCTGAAAAGCTCGAACAAAGTCTCGTTGAAGTGCTTCGTTATAATGAACTCCCAGAACGGT